CTGCTCCTCTTCTCCCAGGGTTTTAACACCGCGCTTCTTTTCCACTAACCAGGTGACCTTTTGGGCTGTGGGCCGAATCACAGAAGAAATTGGTTCCTCCGAGAGAAGATGCCCGAGCAGGAGAAACAGATTACAGCTAGAGAGGGGGCCAGTCGGAAAGTAAGTTTCCTTTCCTCCAGCGCAGTCAGCGCACACCTACCTAGAGGACTTTCCACGCCCACCTGCTCACCTGCGGTCCTTACTCGGCTCCTAAGGGTGCGCTGGGAAGGCGGAGCGCGAAAACCGCACCCCCAGGGGAGTCGTGGTGTGCCCAAAGGGAGTACCCTTTAGAAAGGGCATGCCATTAACTGGTTTTTAGGAACAATGTAAAACGCTATTAACGGGTCTGATGCTGGAAAGGTAAAGTGAGCCTTGAGTTGCTGTGTAAGAGCCCTAATTGCTCAAGACGATTAAATCAGTTACCTGGAGACGTTATTCAGAATTGGTGCCTGGACTCCTTTATGGTCCTGCAGCTTTTTTTTTTAGAACTATTTTGAATTCATTTTAATTATACTAGTCCATTAATGCGATTTCTTAAAATGCAAACAGTGCAGAAAAATAAGCGTGAAAAGCAGATCTATTTTCTAATCCTTTTCTATTCATGCACATATGTTTTAATTCATTCAGCAAAAATTTATTGAAAACTTAACTATGTTTCAGGTGGTGTTCAAGAGCTGAAAATATAGTGGTTAAATGTGTATTTATCTTCAGAGAAATCTTTAGGTTTTCTATGTGTGTTTTTAAAATTTGTTTGTTTTAGATAAACAGGATCACATAGTTTGTATTCTCCAACCTTTTTTCCCCCAGTATCTTTTGGAGATTCTTTCACATTGGTACATAAGGATCTGTTGTATTCACTGTAATCTCAGCACAATGTGGATATACCATAGTATGTTTATTATCTCCCTGTGGAAACATTCTAGTTGCTTCTTTTTTTTTTATTTCCTCACAAGCCAGGCTGTAGAGGACATCCTTGTACATGATTTTTAATGCTGACAGTTGAGTATTTCTTTAGGATAGACACCTAGGCCTGGTTTGCTGGTCTGAAGAGTAAGTTGTGCTTTTTATACAGATCTCTGAAATTAATTCAACAACATTATTAAATGTCCTATTGTAGTGAAATTCATCTAGGCTCTGGTGGTATAGAAAATGAAAGATAAGTGGATTGATGGACAGGAAGTCTGGAGGAGATGATGATTCTTAGTGTGATAACTGCATTTAATGGAGGTGTGGAAGAGAGCACATGTGGGAAGGGGTGACTTATACAGAGGAGGAGACACTTCCAACCCCACTGCAGTGTCATCGTCGTACACCCCATCCTCCCTTCAGAAAAATCCTTATCCTTCCAGATCAAGTTTAAGACCTGCCTCCTCCTTGAAACTTTCTGTAACTGCCTCTAACTGTGTTGACCTCACCCTCTTCTGGATTCCTTTGATAGTAGTATTATCCAACGTTACCGAGCTTACTATGTGCTAGGCACTGTATTAAGCACTTTATATTCCTCTGTGTACATTTAATCTTCACAGAACCCTTTGATGTAGATATTATCTTCTTGTTGTCAACATTTACTCAACAAATATTTTTTTTGTATTTACTTTGTGCCAGCATTCTCAACACTGGAGAACCAGCTAAGACCAAGACCCTGACCTCAAGGAATTTATATCTTAGTAGAAGATACAGAAAGAAGAGTAAACAAATATAATAGTCCTCCCTTATCGACGAATTCACTTTCCGTGGTTTCAGTTACCCATTGTCAACTGAGGCCCCAAATCATTAAATGGAAAATTCTAGAAATAAACAATTCATAAGTTTTAAATTGTAAGCCATTCTGAGTAGTGTAATGAAATCTCATGCCATCCTGCTCCCTCCCACCCAGGATGTGAATCATCCCTTTATCCAGCCTCTCCATGCAACATTTACTACCTACCTGTTTGTCACTTGGTAGCTGTCTTGGTTATCAGTGCTTGTGTTCAAGTAACCTGTATTTTACTTAATAATGACCCCAGTGCACAAAAGTAGTGATGCTGGCACTTCAGATATGCCAAAGAGGAACCATAAAGTTTTTCCTTTAAGTGAAAAGGTGAGTAGAATACAATAAGATATTTTGAAAGAGAAAGAGACCACATTCATATAACTTTTATTACAGTATAGCATTATAGTTCTACTTCATTATTAATTATTGTTTTTGATCTCTTACTGTGCCTAATTTATAAATTGAACTTCATCATAGGTATGTATGTATACGAAAAACATAATATATAGAGAGTTCAGTACTGTCTGATTTCAGGCATCCGTTGGGGGTCTTGGACCATATCCTCTGTGGATAAGGGGAGACTACTATAGTGTTATTTCTGCTATTGATAAGGCTGTGAAGTAAATAAATCAGAGTAGGGGCATTAGAAATGACACGGGAGGGGAAGATACTATATTAAGCAGCTGGTCAGAGCATTCTCTGAGGAGGTAGAATTTCAGTAAGAACCTATAAGATTCAAATTTGGGGGAAGTATTCTAGGTTGAGGAAGCAGAAGGTCAAGATCCTAAGTTGGGAGTGACCTGAATGTTTGAGGATCAGTAAGAAAACCAGAATGGCTGGGGCAGCGGGAAGAAGTGGTAGAACATGAGGTCAGAGTTAATCATATTTACAGATGGGAAAACTGAGGCAGAGAGAAGTGAAGTAACTTGCCCAAGATTCTACAGCTAGTAAGAGGCAGATCTGGAATTGAGTCCCAGTCAAGCCTGTGTGACTTTCTCAGAAAAGTATTTTCTTCCAGACTTACTTGATACTTGGCATACCATCTTTTCTGAATAAAGTTTTTCTTTGCTACTCTGTACTTCTTATAAGTGGAGACCAGGTTTGTGTCATTTAAAAAATAGGCTCCATAGCGCATAATAGGTACACCACAATTGTTTTTAACTGAGTGATTTATAGCATGATTCCCCCTTCATTGTTTTCTGTTCAGAGGCCGCTCTGTGAGGCAGCAGGAACCCTGAAAGGGAGGTGATCCATGACCTGGGTCATTCAGCCTTCAGTCCACAAACACGAAGCACCTTCTGTTTGCCTGCTGCTGGACCCAGCAGTGGGGTGCAAAGATAGAGGTCAGCCCCATTGCTCTTGGAGCTGACAGTCATAAACGCTGGAGTAGATGTCTACACGGAACAGCACTCACAGGCAAGAGTGGTTGGTTGGCATTTCCTGGGAGGAAAGGATGCAAAGAGCTTCCACAGGAGATTGTGCCTGAGTGAGGTCTTGAGGGAGGAGCAGGCATTGGCTGTTGCACATAGTAGAATGAAGGCACAGGCAGAGACCAGCATGTGCGAAGGCCCAGAGGATGGGAAAGGAAAGATACATTAGAGGGAGCACGGCTGTGAGTGGCTTGACAAGGCTGGAAAAGTGATTGTGGAAGGCCCTGTTTTTCATGCCAGGAGTTTGGACTTTGGCCCACAGACTGGAGCTTTGAGCATAAGAAAACAATCTGAGGGGCAACTGGGGAATGGAGCTGCTGGATACTTGCTAGAGGCCTTCCATAATGACCAACCCCGTCTAGACTGAAGGTGGCAGAAAAGCCTAAAAAAAGAACTGAGAGTCGGCTCTGTTGTACTCAGTTCCCCACAGAGTTGTCTTCTCAGTAGAGAATGTTGGCTCCCTAGCCTGAGTGTCTAGAGCCAGTAGTGTCAGAGGCCAGTAGTAGTCAACAGCACAGAGTGTATAGTTGGTACATGAGTAACTGGGCATCACGTGGGTACCAACACGAGTAACTGGGTGATAGACTGTGGGGGTGAGAGAGCTGGATTTTAAATGCTTCTTTATTTGACATACATTTTCTTCTTGCAAGGATGGAGATGGCCCAGTGACATTCCTTTTCCTTGATACCATAGCATAGGTATTAAGGAAATAGCCATGTGCAAGTGTATGCAGTATTATTTTTATCTGTAGGACTGGAATTATTGCCAAGTGAAATTCCAAAATGTTTGCAAAATTTTTTTTTTAACTAAAAGGAGAAAATCTGAGCAGATCAAAGGTTGATGAGATAGAGGGCAAAACAGAGAGTGACTTGTGATGTAATTAACAGCAAATAAGACTTTAAAAACAGCCGCAA